AAAAAAAAAAAAATATTATATTAACTGTTAATTACGAATGAAAAAACATAAAGTTATTATAATTATTATGTAGAAATTAATATTTACTATCTTCTTCAATGTTCAATTGAGAAATATTGATTTGTGAAGATTCTATTTAATAAATTAAGACTTATTGTTAGTATTTTATGAACTAGATATTTTCAAAGTCATACATAAGTAAACTATTTACCGTTCTCATTAATATTCAATTGAGAAATATTAATTTGTAAAGATTCTATTTAATAAATTAAAGTTTATTATTAGTATTATATTGACTAAATATATTTAAAAAGCAGCAATTAATAAATATTTAATTAATACCTGAAAATTCCTTGCTTATTATATTATCGATTTGCTCATAATAATCAACAGAATTTTTAGGTTCAGGAAGATTATTGAAACTAAGCAATCTACTTGTATAAATAGCCCCTGAATGTGATTTATATGATATTCCCAAGCTAGTTGAAGGCTTAATATGAACTCGTGAATTGTTATTTATTTTTTCTGTTTCTTTGATTTGTTTCTGTAATTCAACTGTTTCATTATCACTTTCTTTATATTGCCATTTGCGTAAAATATTAATAACTTCTATTGCTGTTGGTCTATTTAGTTGATTTGCATCCAAACACCTTTTAATTAACTGAACAATTAATTGGGGCACTTTAATATTAAATCTTGGTCTAAGTCCTTGACAAATTTTTATTGCTAAATAATTGTCATGGCTTAAATCATAATATGGAGGTAATCCAGAAATTAATTCATACATATTTATACCAAAACTGTAAATATCTGCAGCTTTTGTATAATTTTGTCCTCCTAAAATTTCAGGAGCTATATAAGGTAAAATACCATATATATTATTTTTTGATAAATTACAATTTGCAGGTTTACACAATCCCATATCGGTTATAGCAACATTATTTTCATGTTTCAACATATTACCGATATGTAAATCTCGATGAATTAATTCCTTTTTATGAATAAAATTAAGCCCAGATACAATATCATCTAAATGTCTAAATATACTTTTCCAATTTAATTCATAATATTTTATGTCCAAATATTTCCGTAAACTTCCATCATTTGCATATTTCAAAACCATTACATAATTTTCTGTTACTGGATCTTGAGTTATTCCATAAAATTTTGTAATTCTAAAATCATCATCTACTTTATGATGTAACATCATCTATATATAAAAGGTAAAAAAATAACTGATATTAAAAGTATAAATTGAAATTTTTTGAATAAAAATTTATTCATACCTCATTCATAAATTCTAATGTAATGTTTTTTGAATCATTTAAACTTTTCAAAGCTACATACATATTTTTATTATACCTTTTCCAAAGTTGATTTTTATCATCCCAATAACTTATATTTCCATTAATCCAATTTGCCTTATATACTTTACCAAATCCACCTCTTGCAATATATACAATATTACAAAATTTACTATAAGGTATCCATTCCAATGCATGTGATATTTCACTATCCTTATGAACCAATAACTGAGTATCTTGAATAAACTTATCAATATCCTTATTACCACTAGTCCAATATATAAATTTTCGTTGAAAGTATATTGAATTACATGCATAATTACATTTTTCACATATGTCATTCAAAACAACTATATAACTTTTTGTTTCTGGATCCTGAGTTATTCCATAAAATTCACGATTTATTTTAATCTATAATGTAATAATATATTAGAAAATTAAGATTTTTATAATTTTGTTAAGTAATAGCTTATCAGTACTTTACCTTATTTGCAAATTCTAATGTAAAATTAATTGGATTATTTAAACTTTTCAAAATCACAAACATATTAAGATTCCCTCTTTCCAATTTTTCATTTGTATCATTCCAACTAAATATTTTTCCATCAATCCAATTTGCTTTATACACTTTACCAAATTTATTTTCTTCAATATGTTTAATATTATACAAACTATCATAAGGTATCCATTCTAGTGCTACACTTATATCATAATGAGCTGACAGTTGTGTATCTTGAATAAGTTTATCAATATAATTATTGCCACTGGTCCAATTTTTGAAATTCCGTTGAAAGTATATTGAATTACAGGTATAATTGCATTTTTCACATATATCATCCAAAACAATCATAAAGTTATTTGTTTTTGGATCTTGAGTTATCCCATATAATGTATGGTTAAATTTAATCTACAAATATATTAATATATTATTAGTAAAAAATAATAGATTTTAAAATCTGTGCATAGTAATGAATCAATAAAGTAAATACCTCATTTATAAATTCTAATGTAAAATTAATTGGATTATTTAAACTTTTCAAAATCACAAACATATTAAGATTCTTACTTTTCAATTTTTCATTTGTATCATTCAAACTACATATTTTTCCATCAATCCAATTTGCTCTATACACTTTACCAAACTTATTTTCTTCAATATATTTAAAATTATAGACTCTATCATAAGGTATCCACTCTAGTGCTCCTTTTACATCTTTATGAGATGAAAGTTGAGTATCTTGAATGAGTTTATCAATATCATCATTACCACTGGTCCAATCTACGAATTTCTGCCCAAAGTAAATGGCATTGCACAATTTATAGCATTTTTTACATTTATTATTCAAAACCATCATATAATCGTTTGTTTCTAGATCCTGAGTTATTCCATAAAATTCATTGTTTCTTTTGATCTACAATGTAATAATATGTTAAAAAAATAAAGTTTTTAAAATTTTGTTAAGTAATAAGCTTATCAGTATACCTTAATTGCAAATTCTAATGTAAGATTATTTGGATTATTTAAAATATTCAAATTCACAAACATATTATGATTCTTTCTTTTCAATTTTTCATTTGTATCATTCGAACTACATATTTTTCCATCAATCCAATTTGCTCTATACACTTTACCAAACTTATTTTCTTCAATATATTTAAAATTATAGAGTCTATTATAAGGTATCCACTCTAGTGCTTCTTTTACACCTTTATGAGATGATAGTTGAGTATCTTGAATAAGTTTATCAATATCATCATTACCACTCGTCCAATCTATGAATTTATGTTGAAAATAAATTGCATTGCACAATTTATAGCACTTTTTACATTTATTATTCAAAACTATCATATAATTTTTTGTTTCTAGATCCTGAGTTATTCCATAAAATTCATTATTTATTTTAATCTACAATGTAATAATATGTTAGAAAAAATAAAGTTTTAAAATTTTGTTAAGTAATAAGCTTATCAATATACCTTATTTGCAAATTCTAATGTAAGATTATATGGATTATTTAAACTATTCAAATTCACAAACATATTATGATACTTTCTTTCCAATTTTTCATTTGTATCATTCCAATTACATATTTTTCCATCAATCCAATTTGCTCTATACATTTTACCAAGCTTGTTTTCTTCAATATATTTAATATTGTACAATCTATCATAAGGTATCCATTCCAGTGCTTCCTTTGCATCACAATGAACTGATAATTGTGTATCTTGAATAAGTTTATTGACATCATTATTACCACTGGTCCAATTTTCAAAATTATTTTGAAAGTGTATTACATTACATACATTATTACATTTTTCACATATATCTTTCAAAACGATCAAGTAATTCCCTGTTTCTGGATCTTGAGTTATTCCATAAAACTCATGGTCTTTTCTAATCTACAAATATGAAATATGCATAAATTATTATTAGTAAAGATAATAAATTTCACATTCCGTGTATAGTAATGAATCAAATAAAATACCTTATTTATAAATCCAAATTTAACATTTTTTAAGTTATTTAAACTTTCCAGCTTTACAACCATATTTCTTTGCAGAAACCTCTGGTTTTCACAAAATATGTCAGACATAATCACTACATATTACTAACAGATGGTATATATATGTTCTATATATTTTAATATACGCAATATGTTTGTAATATTAATAAAATAATGTTATAATATTTTTAATATATGTTGAAATTTAAACTTAAACTAATATAGTGTAGTAAATATTTTTGTAATATGAATAAAATAATTTTACAATATTTTCAAAGTATGTTAAAACATGTACTTAAACAAATGATATAATGAATATTTTGAATATGTTGTTAATATATTTCAAGTATGCTGTTGATATATGAATAACATATTTTGAATACTGTTGTTGATATACAAACAATATATTTTGAATATGTTGTTGATATATGAATAATATATTTTGAATATGTTGTTGTTATATGAATAACTGCTTCTAGCATGTGACTGTCATGTGACTATAAGGTTGATCGCTAGTGCATTTTTTTCGTCTTAGTTACCAAATCACTACTTTATATTGGCTATATAAAGGCAATATGAAACCTTAATTTTTTTAATTTTAAATAATATGATTTTTTTTTAAAAAAAATAAAAATAAAAATTTATAATTTTATCCTTTTAACGAAAATACAAATTGTGTTCAATTTACCTAATGCTAAAAAATAAATCTTGATTAGCTTTGCCATTTATCATAACACTAATTTATTAAAATGCATTATAATAATATAATAAGGACACTCGTTATTGTTAATTTATTGATATATAGCAAAAATGTATTTAATTTAAATAGTAAATAAATTGTGTAATCAAACATAAGATATCAATATTGATATATAATATATATTTAAAAATCATAAACTTCGTAGCCACGCTCAATTAAGGCAATGTATTACTAGACCTACACTAAAGATGACTTTAGCAAGGCTTTCTTTGTGAATTAAAAGAAATTTCATACACTTTGCCAGCTGGTGGGATAGCTTATGACCT